CATGAAAGCAGCCCTTAAAGCTTGGAGGTTACTTCACCACACGTGAAATTGAAAATACTGCTAATCCTTCTGCCTGGTACTCATTTGCCTGCATCATTTTCCAGAGAGTCATAGCCATGGCTGGAACAGCTCCACTGACCAGGGGCGTCTGTGGTTGAACTGCACTCGTCCGCAGGTCTAGAAAAGCAGTCACGAAGGCAGACTCCGCTATGCCTGACATGGAGCACCCTCACAGAGGGAATGACTGAGTAATGGCAGGGTAACTCGATCCAGGGCTGGGAGCAACCCTGATGCCTAAATCATAGCTGTGGGATGGTGAGAGGGAGACATTCAAATGTGTTTGGAGGAAAGACAGGCACACAGATGAGGGGTTGAAGAAACAGTGGGTGGGACAAGCAGGAAAATTAACAGCAGATGGGGGGGGGGGGGGGGGGGGGGGGGGAGGTGAGACAGTATATTCGAGAAACTGCCAAATGACAGAGGATGAAAGTGAATGCCTCTCAATCACCTTTGATACACGTGCCACACCCACTGCTTTGGTAGGAGGGGCTACAGAAAGGCGTCAAAGAGTGATTTTATGTCCAAACATGTCTGAGTTGTTTTGGAAGCCATTAAAAAATTTGTCTGGAAGGCATGTGTAAATGTACCCGCTTGGACCTGTGATTGCTGAACTGGAAATAAACAAACAAAATATTATTTGAATGACCGATAAATTATATAAATGACATAGATCTTAAATTTAAAACATCATATAAATCATCATTCGTTCTTCCTCTTTTTGTCATGTCCTCCTTCCCTTACCACTAATCTTTTATCCTCAACTCCAGATTGTGTTCTTACCATTGCTAACAACTAAACAATAGCTGTGTTACAGAACTGGAGATGCGAAACAGGTCACCCATCGACTGTGTTTCTCTTAACAACATAACAAGAGCAAACACCCTTATGTGGAAATGTGACTCAGGGAAACTTGGTGGGTTTGTTATGGGAAGTGAGTCTCTCCTGGGGTGTGTCACCACTAGGCCAAGTCACCAAGACGTTCTAGAATGTAGATGATTTTGATTTGGGTGTTATGATGCTTTAATTGGTTAGGCTGCAGGTCTCACCACTTGCAGCTTAATGTGTGTGTTGTATTTGCAGTATCATTATAGGAATGTAATTAGATGAATCAGAGATCAATATGGGAATTATTTCTACAATTTAAAAACTGGATGTAGTGGGAAAATGATGATAATGGCATAAATAGATATCATGATTATTTAGCATTTGCATTTTCATTTGTGACAAACAGATATATATATACAGATATATAGATATATATATCTGTATATATATATATATATATATATATATAGATATATATATATATATATATATATACATATTTATATATATAAAATGATACACAGTACTAGGACGACCCAATTTACAGTTACTGCTAAAAGCAAATGGTAAAAGTACATGACTTTAATAAAATAAAAAAAAGAAGCAATGAGCGGCAGACCTAAACCGCAGGACACCTATTTTTAATTCCAGAACTCAACTTCTTTTTTTATATATATATTTAGGAGTTATTTGTGGAGATGAAGTGATGTTTTACCAGAAAGCCCTACTCGACACTTTCCATTTCCTATAAACTGTCCACTGGAGAGTAAAGTTTTATTTGTAGTTGGGGTTTAACTCACAAAAGGTACGGCAAGTAAGTTCAAGTTCTATTCTTAAACACACAAAATCTGACCTCAACTGAACTTCTTCTTTAAGTTACCAAGATTTCCTTCAAATTAGTCATTAGATGCATGATAGAAGCCATATAGAAGTAATCTAGTGAGTGAAACAGCAGATACCACAAGTACCAGCCAATAACATTTGACCACACAGGTCTAAAGCTGCGGTATGTGCTCATCCGCTTTTTGATGTTACCACATAAAGACAACATTTTGCATCAAAAATGAAATGGTTTGCTAGAAGTGGAACATATCCAGGAACAATGCTAATGGTCAAAGGAGCAGCCTAATATAATAATATGCTTTTGCTGCCTGCAAACCCTGTAAAAGTCAGTCATTAGGCTTCACATGTAATTTTCATTAACTTTTCTTGGAAACAACAGTCTAGCAAAACCCACAATTTAGCAGAGGAGAAATACTGGCCAGACTATTACTGAACCACATCCTCCTTTTTCCATCCACAATATGGTCACCATTTATTATTCAGACTGGAGATGCACTTTCCTTGTTCTTCAAACCTCTACTCCTAACATATTTCGATAGCACTTAAAAGGGGTTGATGTATATCAGCAGCTTAGAGTTCAGGTTCAAATAAAGAAAAAAAAAATCTTTAAAATGCAAAACCCTCCATCAATTAGGAAATGTGTTGATTTAGCCTAATTGATGCTTTCAACTACATCTTCCCAAAGTGGACACGGTCTTAAATGCAGCACTAAATTAGCCAGTGGGTCCACATTCTAGCAGATTTAATTTCGTACCATCTTATAGTACATTACACCCAGAAAAATAGAAGGGCCATTAGAACAATGTTAGACCAAGCCTTAAAGCAAGAATAAAGTGGGAAAAACAGCAGCATCCCATCCTACATGGTTCTTATGGAAAGACTGGCTAAGTGAGTTACTGTGTTATCACAGTGATGCTTATCAACAAGATTCCTAGACACTGCTTGCCATTTAGTTGAAGTGACATCGGTACTTAAAAAGGTCTGACAATGAGTGGCGTCTGGGTCTTGGGACTATGTGTGTTTTGGTAACATGAGCTTAGTTATGATTGAGCGGAAATGTTAGACAAGCATCTAAGTTTCCCCTGCCTGCTTCCACCCTCCACATCTCGCCACATGCGAAACCACAGTGGAACTGCAGCAGCCAGAGTAAACGCTGCACTCGTTCACATGGCATGTGTTTACACTGGATGCCAGAGTGACGCGCCAGCCCCTTACTCATTTTCTGTTGATAAACGATAAAGCACAGTGCAATTATTCTTTCATAATCACGGTAAGCTGTGAACCTTTATGTGTGCAATGTTTCCCACACTGAGCAGTGGGATGAGGAAGGCCTACATGGTCAAAATAGTGTATGCTGTTTTAAAGTATGCATGCGTCTCTGTGTGTTTGATGTGTGTGTGTTCCTCTTTTTGACTCATCTACAGGGCAAGGAGGCGTTCTGACTTGGCAAAAAATTTCATCAAACTGTGTAGGCCTAACACTTTCAAAGGTTAGTGCTCTAAAAGGAACAACATGAGCTGATGTGAAGGCAGGTGGTTGAATATTAATTCAAATAATACAATAATTATAAAGTATAAAGAAATGTACTTCTTTACAAAAAAAAAATTTGAATAAAAGCATTTAATAGTTGTCTTTGTTTTTTCTTTCCTTTCAAAAGACATTTTGAGGTATAACATGCAAGAGGGATATTTAAAGCGTGGAACGCCAGAGGCACTTTCATCAAAAACTATTAGGAATGGCAATTGAGAACCTGAATCATCAAGGATTAGAATCCCACGGGCTGGTTCCAAATTACCCACGAGAAAAAGTATGATTTAAAGTTCTATTATTTCCTATTAAGTTTCATCAAGATATCATTGAAATGGCATAGGTTACCTATATATATGTACGTGTTTGTGTGTATATATATATATATATATATATATATATATATATATATATATATATTATATTTCTTATAAAATACTTTCTAATTTAATCCATGAAGATCAATGTATCTTTGCAAAATCATGTAACATTGGAAATGCTGAAACTAAACTTTCAAGTTGGCGCTTTCAATATATTGCACACTAAAATTTTGCCCAATGGCTAATATTTGGTATTCACATCATTTAAAAGTCTAAATATCTAAAAAGACATTTACCTATTCTATGAGCCATCACTTCAGAATCCACATTATATAACAGATGTATATATTTTTAATATGATTAATCTCAAAATAATTGTGGATTAATAGAGATTACTCAAACTTTTGTATATATTGCTGTAATAAAAAAAACAGTAAACTGTAAATGAACCAAATAATAGAAAAATTAAACTGGGATAGGTTGAAAAACAAAATATTTTTTAAAAGAGAGGTAGAGGTATTAGTAAAGAACTAAGGCTGTGACTTGTTTATAAGAGACCTGACTGAGAGGGTGGGGACCAAGAAAGTTTTGACTTGAGAAACAACACAAAGCTGAACTGAAGTTTTCATATGAGCAACGTAATACACACTCGTACCCCATCATATGAGCAGATGAGGCAATAGACAACACCTGCATAGTTAAACCAAGATGCATATTTATGCCAAGGAGACCACTTGATAGAGGGGAGCTACAGATGTTTACCAACATTTGCTGCAAAGTGCCCTGAGGAAGAGGAGGCTGGGTTAAAAATGAATTAACTTTACTATTATTGTTGTTTTTTTTTTTAGTTTTGTAATTCTGTACTTGGTATTACTCGAGAAAAAAACTCAGGAAATTAATAATCAGAACTTCCTGAATAAAGAGAGAAAGTGAGAGAGGGTGAGTATGAGAGAGAATTAGAGAGAGAGAGAGAGTATCCAACCAGCTTTCAGATCCATCTACACAGGTGCACAACCAACATATCCTCCACCCATTGAGTTCAGTGTAAGGATACACAACTCTCAGATCCTCTTTATGTATGTACACTCACACTACGGGGAACCCTTCAGTAATGACGTATGAGTATTATGCATAGCTGCAGGGTTAGCCACAGGCCTGCTATGCAAGATACACAGACTGAATGACAACTCATTCGCGTTTGTGCATTCGCCGAGTGTTGCATTTACTACCCTAACCCAGTGTGTGTGTTTTTCACTGACACTGTTGGTCACACTGTAAACACAGTTTAAAGTACGGGCTCCTTCCTGCAGCGAGAGGATTCTAACCGTCACAACAGTGCAAACAAGTCCTGTTTGGGCGCCGTTTTTTCTACTTATATTCGGTGGCATGAATGCAAGAGTTGGATTAACTGTAAACATGTCTCACCTGGGTCCACAGTTAAATGACGGGAGTGCCTTCACTCTACAGAAAGGCTAATTTCCTGCAAAAATCTTGCAAAACCGTCGATCCCCATTACTGTTTTCTCTTCAGCCATTTTGAGTCAAACCGTCAAGTTGGTGTAGCGGGGTTGCTTCGATATGAGCGTTTTATGAATTATGATTGGATTTATTAACACGTGCGAACTTAATGTATTTAGCAAATATTTCGCACTTACAGAAACTAATCCCATCAAATATAATTTATAAAACCACGGCATTAATATATGTATGCGCACTCACAGTTCATGTAGACCCCTCTTGTTTGGCAAAAATGGTGTAGTCCACTGCATTCCTAACAGCTCTTCAGCCAATAGGAAGAGTGGCTTTGAACAACCTGTGGCCGCGCTCAAAACACAGCTGAGAGCAGAGAGAAACGCTACCACACTTCACTCCGAGGTTACACAAAGACATTGTAGCTATGTCACAATTTCAAAATAACGCAAACTGAATAGCTGCAGTAATGCATAAATGCCGTTTGATGTACACTTAAGCTTGAAGTGCTGGCAGTGTTTAAATACTGTATATGCGGCTTATGATGTATTTCTAGAGCCAACATCAGCAGATAAAAGTAAAACTCATTATATTGTACAGCCACTACAACAACTTGTCCACTTGCTGTCCGCATCACTTCCTTTATCCACTTGTCCACTTGCTGTCCGCATCACTTTTTTTTTATCCTTTATGAGTCATCAGAGAGCTGAAACCATCCCAGCTGACATTGGGGTAGAGGCAGAGTACAAATTGTACTGATCACTAGTCAATCACTGGACTGACACGTCAAGTCGAACAACTATTGAATTTTCCATGTTGCAATCAATGCAGTCTGTCTGTCTGGTTGTCTGTCTAGCCATCCATAGCCATATCTCATAAATTTGCACCCATGTTAAAAAAAACATGTGTTGTAATATATTATGTTATAAAGATATTAAAGAAAATACCAGAACTTAACACAGGATATGGTTTAAAATGCATACAATCATTGCAGCTAGAATGGTACAATGCATTTACACATAGAGAAGATAAACCTTTCAGACAGTGATAAAATAGATCTAAAGAGGGTGAATGAACAGAAACACGAGCAAACACAGGGAAGCACTTTGGGTCACTTGTCGGGGCAGTGAACTGGTCAAAAGGACAAGAGAGAGAAATAACAAGACACAGGTATAAAGTAGGGGCAGGTAATCCTGGTGGTGGGAAACACTGGAGGACTTGAAAACCTGGAGATCCTTGAGAAACAAACATAAAGATATAAGAAATAGCACCACTTTTCATCTGATGTGTTATAATTCAGGTAAAACACTAATAACAGCATGTACTGTTTAACCTCGAGAGCTCCAGGCTTAGGAGAAGCTACAAGAACATGTAAAGTGTGTGAGGTACGAGATGGATGAACGCACTGGTATTTCTGGATGTTAATGTGTTTTCACCCTGCATCATTTTTCTCGTGCTTCGTATCTCGTGGCTTACACGTTAGCTTGTCAATATCCTGATAAATATGTGCTTACAAACATCAGTTAAATCAAGGTATTGGTCCTCATTTAATTAAGTCAGAGATTACAAGGTAATGCTTTTGTTTATGCTTCAGGCAGCGTGCGTCATAATAAAGAACTTCATAGTCATTATTTCAGTTCATAAATGACAAAAATGCACAGTTGTGAAAGCGCACATTTGCTCAGACGCACATGTGATATGACACATTTGTCCCTCGCACTGGTGTTTCACACTGTGTTGTCGGTGCACTGGAGCGTGGTGTTGTTAGTTTTGCAATTCAAGTCACCTGGGGCTACACATGTCCTGTTCTGTTAGCCACTGTCACAGGCCACGCTGTACAGTTTGTGGCAGGTGGCCGTGCTCTCAGCTTGCGTGTTTGTGTGTGGATGACAGATGGACGTACAGAAAAGGATGCATCAGTTAAAAAAGCTCCTCAGGATTTGTCAGTCTTTTTTGTTCTGTCCATAAATATGTTTGCGTGTGTGTGAGACAAAGCAGTGTGATCAGAAACTTAGCATAAGTGTTTGTGTCTGCTTCTTTCTAAAATAAAAAAAAAAGAGTTCTGGCGATTACAATCAATATTTCTCATCTACCAAAACAGGATATGAAAGAAAAACAGTTACTTTCCATGTCACACATGAAACACCACTAAAAGTACTGCAACTATGACGGTTCTTTAGATATAATTATTATAAATATAAGGGGAATTTCATTTGTTTTTAGATACATTTAAAATAATCTGTAATCTCTAATTTTCCATAAGATAATTCTTCTATTGCAGAAGTTTAGAAATCCTCTTCAAGGAAATAAATCAAGTTTGTTTCAAAATCTGAAGTTTGCTGAAATTTTGACAAAGATATACTAATAAAACCCGTCAAAGCTGCTGTAGAAGCTGCCTTAAAACGTTTTAGTTATTAAAATTTGACACCTTTTCAATTTTCAACATCTGTATTAGAACTTTTTTCGACTCCCCTGTACAGTAGAGGTGCAGCTGTGGCCAACATGAGGAGACAGGCAGGCTTCGTTTGTTTTGTTTTTTTAAATGGAAAACAGTAGTCGTGGTGTGGCTACTTTGTGATCAATAAAAGAATCTTTAGCTCAGGGCTAAATAGAATTAAGAATTGCTTTAGGATAATGACAGTATCGACCGGCACTCAGTAAAGTGTTTCAGGCCGTGGCAGCTTAATTCCTATCTATGAAGGTGTAAAGGGAGCCTGTTGGAGTCAGCTCTGACAATCAAAGTAAAGCTCTCCAGCTCAACTACGTGTCTCCATACCACAGAGGCATTTGAAGATACTGCAGTGTAATTTATGACCTATTCTTTGGAAACTAAGACGTTCAGGAGTTTCTGTGCCATCACACAAGTGGACAGACTCTGGCACAGGCTACACGTGCGTCGACCACAGCAGTATTCAGCAAGTGCAAGGTTACTGGATGATTTATCTTCCGTATTGGCATGTGTCTCCGTATCTGAAAACCCCAAAGTCCTCATGTGACTCAACGATATGTCACGAATTACACGTCAGTTTGAGTTATAGCAAGATCAGGCTACAGGTAGTTAAGTCTGACACTGTAATATAACATAATGGTACAGTTACAGGAATGTTTAGGTAAAACGGTCACGGTACAGCGTCTGCTATTTTTGGACGTCTGGCTTTTTAGTTTCTTTGCCGTATGGACAGGATATATTTACTGCAAATTATTGCCGTCTGTTTCACATTGTTGTTGTTGTTCTTTGAATAGTAACCACATGAGCACAAACAGGGACAATTGGATGACAGATGAGCTGAATTCATCTCTTACTTTGAAGTGTTCTGTGTGCTCTGTGTTTGGCCTTGTGCCTAACGTCCTGTCTCTCCTTTCTTGGATTACCTCCATCTATTGTATTCAAGACAAAAACCTATTTAGCTTTAACATATGTGAACTGAATAACAGTTTTGTAACTGTGACAGGTTCCTATTGGACTATCTCGCTGTCAGTCACACACAGTGTCCACTCACTTGTTCCTGGCTCTCTGTCTGCTTTTCTTAAACTGGGATCAAAATGAACAAAGCTGTTCTGCTGAAGAGGATCTGAAACCATGATTAACACACTGTAACTCAGTGGTCTTCAACCAATCTTTTTGCTTTCTGGAAACCTCAGAGAGATTTCAGTAGTCACATGATCACAGCCATCAATCAAAATGGGCCAACTCATAGATTTATATCTGCTTTTTTCTTGCACTCAATTCATATTCATGACAGTGAAAGTATTGTCATTTAAGATTGTACATGGTGTTTTTATAATAATTTAAAAAGATTAATAATTAGTTGAACTTTTTTTATTAGTATTTGTTTTAAATCAATCAACAAAATGATTTCTCCTATTTGTTTTTGTTTTGTCATTCATTTTGTCTCAATATCCCTGTGCCAGTTGAGGGAACTGCCTCAATACAATGTATTAATTTAAATTTTCTATTCACCATGTCAGTGTACCTCGCTAAGTTTGCAGAACATTGAGGTGTTTTGATGTTTGGAGATGAAAATGCTAGGGGATTAAATATTTATTCTTCTTTTTTGTTGGCTTAATTATGTATGTGTCCACTGTCAAGTTAAATACCACTGCTCCGGTGAGGGATGTTTCAAGCATACATTTTTGCCACTGGCGCGGAATACATTACCTACTTATTATAAGGATTGCCCAGAATACACTCGTATGCAACCTTATGGAAATATTAAATGAAGAGGTTGCACACCTCAGTGGACACATTGAATAAGCATGAGTGTGCTGTGTGTGATTCATAATGCCGACTTTGGGCTTTGTGTCAGCGATGACATCATCCATTGTTTGAAGTGATGCTATTTTATGTATTTGAAGTAGATTCCTGACCAAACACTACCTTTATTCTTCAGCTTAAAAAAGTCATCTTAAACAACAGGGCTGTATTGTGAGCAGATGGCTGTAATGCGCCTGACTTCATGGAAGTCACATGCCACTCCGTGTGTGAAAGGGTGAGCACCTGTGTGGTCTTGTGATCATTTTATTAATTAGCAGGTCAACAGGGGGTCATTTTCAAAGGGGTCATGTCAAAGTAGCAGCGTTAAGCTAACGTCTGTATCAAATCTGAACCCCAGGCGATTAGCCGGGGACCATGGACTGTTCTGTTCTGTTTAATGGTTTCTATAGAGGATAATCAAATAACATGCATTTGTACTACTTCAATAAGTACCAGTACGAATATTTGAATGAGGTACGTGCCCTGATATCAATACTGGTACCGGTATTACTGCATCAAACAGCAGTTGACTTGAGGAAAAATAGGAAATGACTGCCAGGAGCTGTTTTTACTCAAAGAATACTAAAAACAAAAATACTGAAATGAGTTCAAACAACTACAGTCTTTAATCATTTCTGGAAACTTCCGGGATATTTATACATCAATACGAAATTAAAACCTCTCTGTGTCAGATTAACGCCTGCCCACGACTGAGGAGTTCCCCGGATATTTTTGTGTGCCGTTTTTCCGCTTTGTCGTAGTTTTTTTTTTTTTTTTGTCTCTATAGTCACCTCTCAGGTCAGATTTAAACTTTAGTGCACATCTGTTACTACTAAAACAAACTGCTGGTCCGTCACCACTCCACCTTGTTCAATG